TTTTTTTGGGGCCAAAAGGAACATTCCAGGGGAAAAAAAAAATCAAAGGGAACACGACCTGAAAAATGAGGATTTTCCCAACATTTTGGGGTCCAAACTCCCCCAAAACCCTCCGGAAATGGGTAAAAACTCCAAGCAAACCACCCCAAAAAAAAAGGTGGAGATGGAGAATCCCAACAGAAGGAAAAGCCCCAAAGGAGGGACTGGGGAGAGAGGGAGGATTTGGGGACCCAAAACTGGGGGTTCAGCTCTTTAAAGGGGATTTTTTCCCAATTTTTCACTGAATTTTGAGGAGATTTGGATTTTCTGTTGGGTCATAAATGAGGAAAAGATGAAACTGGGGGTTTCAACTCTTTAAAGTGGATTTTTTTTCCCCCATACTTTTAACCCAATTTGGACCAAATCCTTCCCTGGAACCCCCAAATTCCTTCTCTGGAACCCCAAAATCCTTCCCTGGAACCCCAAAATCCTTCCATGAAACCCCAAAATCCTCCCCTGGAGCCCCAAAATCCTTTCTTGAAACCCCAAAATCCTTCCCTGGAACTCCAAAATTCCTCATTGGTTCACCAAAATCCTTCTCTGGAACCCCAAAATCCTTCCCTGGAACCCCCAAATCCCTCCCTGGAACCCCAAAATACCTCCCTGGAACCCCCAAATTCCTTCCCTGGAACCCCAAAATCCTTCCCTGGAACCCCAAAATTCTTCCCTGGAACCCCAAATCCCTCCCTGGAACCCCCAAATCCCTCCCTGGAACCCTAAAATCCTTCCCTGGAACCCCAAAATCCTCTTCTGGAACCCCAAATCTTTTCCTGGAACCCCAAAATCCCTCCATGAAACCCCAAAATCCTTCTCTGGAACTCCAAAATTCCTCATTGGTTCACCAAAATCCTTCCCTGGAACCCCAAAATACCTCCCTGGAACCCCCAAATCCTTCCCTGGAATCTCCCAAATCCCTTCCCTGGAACCCCAAAATCCTCCCCTGGGACCCCAAAATCCCTCCCTGGTGCCCAAATTCCCTCCCCGGAACGCCCAAATCCCTCTTTTTCTCTTCTTTTCCTCTCATTTTCCCCAGATTTTCCTCTGCTTTCCCCTTTTCTTTTCCATCTGATTTTCCTCCCGAATTTCCCTCGGATTTTCCCCACATTTTCTTTTTGTTTTTCTCTTCTTTTCCACCGATTTTCCTCTGATTTTCTCCTTCTTTTTCCTCTGACTTCCCAAACACTTCCCACTTCTTTTCCCAGGGCTTCCCTTTGATTTTCCTCTTATTTCCCCCCTTATTTTCCCTTTTCCTTTTCTTTTCCCCTTCTTTTCATCTGATTTTCCTGTTTTTTTCCTGTTATTTCCCTCTCGCTTCCCTCTGGTTTTCCCTTTTCCCTCTTCCCTCTCTTCCCCCCTCCCAAATTTCCTGGTGTTTTCCTGGGATTTCCTCTGATTTCCGGGTTCTTTTCCCGGAGATTTTCCCTGAATTTTCCCCCAGCCCGGCAGTTCCAGGCTCTGCAGGGGCCAGAGATTATTTTAATTAAAAGAGATTATCTTAATGAAAAAAGATTATCTTAATGAAAAGAGATTATTTTATATGTTTGTATATTCATAGGTTTTGTATATTTATATATTTCATATCTTTATATACTATATAAAAATAAATATGCAATACTCACATACTGTTTAAATGTTATTTTTATATTTTTATATATTTATTAATATATTTACTATATATTATTGATATATTCATATATTTATTATTTACACTATTTATATATTATAGAATATTATGAAGAAATTTTAAAATATTTATATTTTCTATAAATACATATTATATATTAACATGCTATATATAAATTCAGTATAAATAATATATACCTATAAGTATATAAATATATATTTATATATAATTATTAATAGGTATTTATGTATTTTAAATTTAAAAATTTAAGTCAAGTAAATCAATTCAACCAATGAAAATTATCACCCAAATAAAGCAAATCAAACTGATGCAATAAAAGAAATTAAAATAAATGAAAAGAAAATGAAATAAAATATAATAAATAGATGCAATAAATTACATGAAAACTAAATTTTTAACAGACTTAAAAATTGAAAAATTGAAAAAAATGAAAATCAGAATAAAATTAGAAAATAAATAAAAAGGATTAAAATTTATATAATAAATACAAAATTACTGAAAGTGTAATTATTTTAAAAAAGTATGAAATTCCAAATAAAAAATAAAATAAATAAAATACATAAAACCGACTTAATAAAATAAAGCAAAAAAGTAAAATTGACCGAAATAAAATCCATTCCATTGACTCCTTAAATGAAATAAAAAGTGATTGTTCCCAATAAAGGAATCCATTGGAATTCAACACTTTGAACTCAATCCTTCCAATGGAATTCAGTTACTCATTACAATAAACACATTAATAATTAAATTAAAATAGGTTAAATCCCTCATTAAAAAAATCGAATTAACCCCAGTGCCCCCTTATCCCGCTTTTCCAGGCCTTTCCCACCCTGTTATCCCTCTTTTTCCTGCCTTTTCCCTGGGTTTCCCCCATTATTTTTTCCCAGTTTTCCTGCTTTCCCCTGTTTTTATCCTGTTTTTTCCCCCCAGGAACTTCTCAGATGAATTTTGGGAGACCCCCCAGGAATAGCCCCCTGTTCCTCCCCCCATTATCCCTGTTTTCCCTCTATTATACCAGTTTTTCCTCCTCTTTCCCCATTTTTCCCCCCATTATCCCTGTTTTCCCCCCATTATTCCATTTTTTTCCCCCATTATCCCTGTTTTTCCCCCATTATCCTGGGTTTTCCCCCATTATCCCAGGTTTTCCCCCCATTGTCCCAGTTTTCCCCCCCATTATCCTGTTTTTTCCCCCCATTATCCCAGTTTTCCCTTGATTATCCCAGTTTTTCCCCTCTTTCCCAGTTTCCCCCCCCATTATCCCAATTTTTCCCCCTCTTTCCCTGTTTTTCCCTCCATTATCCCAGTTTTCCCCCCATTATCCAAGTTTTCCCCCATTATCCCCCTTTTCCCCCTTTCCCTGTTTTCCCAGGAATCCTCCCCCTCTGGGAGGAGTTTTCCAGTCCCTGCTCCTTCCTCTCCTCCAGCCTTAAATCCCAATGGGATTCTGACAATTCCTCGGCCCCATTCCAGCCCCCCTGGAATTTCCGAGCAGGAAAATGGGAAAAGCCCCAAATTCCAGGGGTTTGGGGCACACGGGACCCGGGGAGGGGCAGGTCGGGGGGTGGGGCACCAGGGGAGAGACTTTTGGGGTGTTTGGGTTTTTTTTTGAGGGAGGTTTATTCCCATTTTTTTGGAGGTCGTGACGTCATTCATTGATTGATCGAGGAAAGATCAATAAATGGAGAATTCTGATTGTGATTTGATCCCAAACGGCTCCCGAAATCTTCCTAAAATCGGGAAGTGCTGCTGGAGTGGGGCTGGAACAGCAGGGGGGCACTTTTGGGGCATTTTTAGGGGTTTTTTGGGGGGTTTATTCCCATTTCTGGAGGTCGTGCCGAGCCTCGCGGGGTCGTTTCCCAACTAACCAGGAAAACCTCAAGAAACGAAGGATTTTGGCCCCGATTTACCCCAAACCCACCCGAAATGGCCCCGAGGAGGGGCAGGGCCACCTTTTCCCCCGGGCTTTGGGGTAAAAAAAGCCCCAAAAGGGGAAGTGAGAGCGGCGAGAGGAGCCGGGAGGGGATTTTGGGGGGGCCGAGATGTAAATTGGCCGAGCCGGAGGTGCCCGAGCGCGGCGCCGCTTCCGCCGACAGAACCCGCCCGGCACCCGGAAATCTGAAATTCCATAAGCCTCAAAAATCCCAGCCCTCCCAAAAATCCCCCACCAAAAATCACCCCCAAAATCCCCCCCCTGGAATTCCAGGATGTGCCCTTTGACCCCAAACCCAACCCAAAGCCACCAAATCCCGGGGGCTGCCGGGAAGGCGGAGTTTTGGTGCAGGGAAGAGCCCAAAATGTCTTGGAATTCGATGTCTTGGGCATCCGAAATCTTGGAATGCAATTTCTTGGACATCCAATGTCTTGGACATCCAATGTCTTGGACATCCAATGTCTTGGACATCCAAAATCTTGGACATCCAAAATCTTGGACATCTAATGTCTTGGACATCCAAAATCTTGGACATCTCATGTTTTGGATATCCAACATCTTGGACGTCCAAAACCTTGGACATCTAAATCTTGGACATCCCATGTCTTGGACATCCAAAATCTTGGAATCCAACCTCTTGGAGATCCAAAATCTTGGACATCCAACATCTTGGAATCTGATGTCTTGGAATTCCATTCTCTTGAACCTCCACATTTTTGGACATGGAATCTCTTGGACATCCAAAGTCTTAGACAACCAACTCCTTGGCCACCCAAAATCTTGGACATCAAATCGCTTGGACATCCAAAACCTTGGACATCCCATGTCTTGGAATCCAACTTCTTGGACATCCAATGTGTTGAACATCCCACATCTTGGTCATCCCAAATCTTGGCCATCCAATGTGTTGAACATCCCAAATCTTGGCCACCCCAAACCTTGACTATCCCAAATCTTGGCCATCCCAAATCTTGGCCATCCAATGTGTTGAACATCCCAAATCTTGACCATCCCAAACCTTGCCCACCCCAAATCTTGGCCATCCCAAATCTTGACCATCCCAAATCTTGGCCATCCCAAATCTTGGCCACCCCAAACCCTGGCCATCCCAACCCCTGCCCACCCCAACCCTTGCCCACCCAACCTCTGGGACTTCCCCCTTTCCCCCCCCGTTGCGTCGTCAGCACCGCCGAGAAGGAACCGAAACCCCGAAGGCCCGACCGGCGGCTACAATCTGGGCTGGGCGGGAGGGGGATTTGGGGTTGGGGGAGGAGATTTGGGGTTGGGGAGGAGATTTGGGTCAGGGAGGGATTTGGGGTCAGGGGGGATTTGGGGTCAGGGGAGAGGATTTGGGGTCAGGGAGAGGGATTTGGGGCCGGGGCTGAGGCAAACATGGCCCAGCAGGACCCCTACGGGAACTGGCTGGGCCCCCCCGCGCCCACCACGGGCCTGGGGAGGAGACCGGGTGAGTTTGGGGGATCCCCCTTCCCGTGGCCTTCCCGTGTCATTCCCGTGCCCTCTCCGTGTCCTTCCCGTGTCCTTCCCACGTCTTTCCCGTGTCCTCTCCGTGGTTTTGGGGTCGGCGGCTCCGGAAGCCTCCAGGACGGCACCGTCGGCGTCCCCAAAGGGTCGAACTCTTTTTTGGGAGAGTTCCGAGTTCCCAAAACCTTCAGGTTTGGCCCCAAAGTTTGGGTGGAAAATCCTCGTTGGGGCCTCAAAGCGTCGGGAATGGCCTGGCTGGGGGGGGGTCCTTGGGGTTTGACCCTGGATTTGGGGGTTTCTTTGGGATTTTTACCTGGATTTGGGGTATTTTCCCCTGGATTTGGGGTTTTCTCCATGATTTTTACCTGGATTTGGGTTATTTTCCCCTGGATTTGGGGTTTTCTCTGGGATTTTTATCTGGATTTGGGGTATTTTCCTCTGGATTTGGGGGTTTCTCTGGTATTTTTACCTGGATTTGGGGTATTTTCCTCTGGATTTGGGGGGTTCTCTAGGACTTTTATCTGGATTTGGGGTATTTTCTCCTGGATTTGGGGGTTTTCTCTGGGATTTTCCCCTGGATTTGGGGTATTTCCCCCTGGATTTGGGGTTTTCTCTGGGATTTTAACCTGGATACAGGGGGAGTTTCCCTGGATTTAGGGGTTCTCCCGAGATTCTTACCTGGCTTTGGGGTTTTGTCCTGGGATTTGGGGGTTTCTCAGGTTTTTCACTGGATTTAGGGATTCCTCCAGGATTTTTACTTGGATTTGGTGGTTTTGTCCCTGGATTTGGGGTCCCAAGGGCCAAACTCTTTTTGGGGGAGCTCTGAGTTCCCAAAACCTTCAGGTTTGACCCCGAAGTTTGGGTGGAAAATCCTCGTTGGGGGCTCCAAAGCATCGGGAATGGCCTGGCTGGGGGGGGTTCTTTGGGGTTTGACCCTGGATTTGGGGGTTTCTCTGGGATTTTTACCTGGATTTGGGGTATTTTCCTCTGGATTTGGGGGTTTCTTTGGGATTTTTATCTGGATTTGTTTTGGGTTTTTTTGTTTTTTTTTTTTTTTTTTTTCCCTTCCCCCTGGATTTGGGGGTTTCTCTTGGATTTTTTACCCAGATTTGTGGCTTTCTCTGGGATTTTTCCTTGGATTTAGTTTCCCCCCCCTGGATTTGTGGTTTTTTTCCTGAGTTTTTCACTGGATTTGGGGGTTTTTCCAGGATTTTTACCTGGATTTGGGGGGTTTTGTTCCTGGTTTTGGAGGTTTCTCTGGGATTTTTCCTTGGATTTGGGGTATTTTTCCCTGGATTTGGGGATTTCTTTGGGGTTTGTACCTGGATTTGGGGTTTTCTCCGGGATTTCTATCTGGATTTGGTGGTTTTTTTCCCTGGATTTGGGGGTTTCTCTGGGATTTTTCCTTGGATTGAGTTTTTTTCCCCTGGTTTTGGGGGTTTCTCCGGGTTTTTCACTGGATTTTGGGGATTCTCTGGCATTTTTATCTGGATTTAGGGGAGTTTTCCCCAGATTGTTTTTTTTCCTGGGATTTTGATTTTTCTCCAAGTTTTTCCCTCCCAGATTTGTTTCTTTATCCCGTTTTTTTTGTTTATTTGTTTGTTTTTTTGGCAGGAATTTACTCCTCCACTGGGAAAATGTCCCCCGTGGGCGATTTCAGACCAGGTAATTCCAGGTTTTTCCAACTTTTCCAGGGTTTTTGGAGGTGGATGGAAAGCAGAATTCCCAGAGGTGCCTCCCGGGCTCAATCCCGGCTTTATTTTGGCTCTGAATGGGAAGTTTTGCTCCAAAAATTTGGCTTTTTGGGGTCAAAAAATGAGAGAAGAATCCACCAAAATATCCCGGAATTCCCCACACAGGGAATTTCTGGCTCTTGGAATGGAATCCAACCCTGGAATTGTGTTATAAAAGATATGCATTTTATTATAATATAGAATATTATAATAAAATAAACTTAATTAGAAAATTACATACATTTTGTTCTATACAATAAAATAAAAATTTATTATAAACTAGAAAGGACATTTCTTATATTTTTGATTGGATTTTTATTTTAATATTTAATATTTAATGTTTAATATTTTATATTTTACAGTAAATGTTTTATATTTTATCTGTCATCTTATTTTTATTCATTATTTATTTTAATTAAAGTATTAATTTAATTATTATTTCATTATTAATTAAGTATATTTAATTATATTAATAATTTAATTATACTATTAATTATATTATAATTATTAATGATTTTCAATACGGATGTAATTATTAATAATTTTTATTATTACTTATTTAAGTATTAATATTATTATACTATTAATTTAATTATATTATTAATTATTATAATATAATATATATTATTTAGTATTATAATCTATATTATAAACTATAATTAATTATTATAATCTATATTTTAATTATATGTCTATAATAATATTTAAATTACATTTATATAAATATTTATATTAATTATAGAAATGATTATAAATTATGCTTGTTTTATAAAAACGACACGTTTTATATAAACAATTATAAATTCTTATGATAAATAAATATTGATGTGTTTTAATGCATTTTATGTTCTTTATATTAATATCCATAGAGAAATGCATCATATAGGAATTAGGGGATTGTGGGATTTGAAGATAAAGGGGATAAAAATGGATAAAATCAATATATTGGGGGAAAAATATGGGAAAACAACCCGGGAATCACCAAAGGGAAAAGCAGAATTCCGCTTTTTGGCGCTCTCCGGGCTCAAACTTCCATGGAATGCTGGGGATTTGGAGACAAAAAGGGGATAAAAGTCGATAAAATCAATATATTGGGAACAATCCCCTTCCCGGGGGCCCCCCACGGTGCCCCCAAATCCCGATTTTCCCGTTTTTCCCCCATTTTCGAGGGTCCCCGGACAGTTTCGAGGCCGATTACGACGACGTCTCCCTGGCGGAGCCGGAGCCGCCCAGCAAACCCGGCACAGGTGACACCCCCGGGAAACGGGAATGTGGGGGGGAATTCCACCTGGAAATGGGAATTTTGGGGGTAATTCCCTCTCAAAATGGGAATGTTGGGGTTGATTCCTCCCTGGAATGGGAATTTGGGTTTTAATTCCACCTCAAAATGGGAATTTGGGGGTTAATTCCTCCCCAGAAATGGGAATTTCAGGGTTAATTTCCTCTCAAAATGGGAATTTGGGGGTTGATTCCCCCTCAAAAATGGGAATTTTGGGGTTAATTCCACCTCAAAATGGGAATTTGGGGGTTGATTCCCCCTCAAAATGGGAATTTTCAGGTTTAATTCTGCCTTGGAATTGCAATTTTGGGGTTAATTCCACCTCAAAATGGGAACTTTGGGTTTTAATTCCACTTCCTTATTTGAATTTAAGGGTTAATCCCATCTTGGAATGGGAATTTTAGGGATTAATTTTAGGGATTAATTCCACACCAGAATGGGAATTTGGGGGGTTAATTCCACCTTGGAATGGTGGATCAGGATCAGATCCCGATGGAACAGGATTAGGGTCAGGATTGGACCCCCTGGATCAGGATTGGACCCCCTGGATCAGGATTAGAGCCCATGGATCAGGATTAAGACCAGGATTAGACCCCCAGGACCAGGATCAGGATCAGGATTGACCCCCAGGACCAGGATTAGATGCCATGGATCAGGATTAGACCCCCAGGATCAGGAATTGAGCCCGATGGATCAGGATTAGACCCTGATGGATCAGGATTAGACCCCATGGATCAGGATTAAGACCAGGATTAGACCCCAGTGGATGAGGATTAGACCCCCAGGACCAGGATTAGCCCCCCAGGCTCAGGATCAGGCTCAGGATTAGACCCCATGGATCAGGATCAGGCCCAGGATCAGCCCCCCGTGCCCAGGATGATTCCAGGACTGACCCCATCCCGTTTTTCCCAGTTTATTCCCTGGCGGGCTCTCCGAGCCCCTCCCAGCCGGGCCCTCCCCCCTCCTGCGGCGCCGTCGCTTTTCCAGCGGAGCCGGAGCCCAAAAAGCGGGATTGGGATCGGAATTCCCGGGGGCTGGGCCGGGCTGGGGCCGTCCTGTCCGTCCTGCTGGGGCTGAGCATCCTGGCTGGGACCCTCCTGCTCGGGCTGGCCATGGAAAAACGTGAGTGCATTGGGATAATGGGATGGGAATGGGATGGGAATGGGACCCTCCTGCTCGGGCTGGCCATGGAAAAACGTGAGTGGGAATTGGAATGGGAAAATGGGAATGGGAATGGGATGGGAATGGGACTCTCCTACTTGGGCTGGTCATGGAAAAATGTGAGTGGAATGGGATGGGAATGGGATGGGAATGAGAGTGGGACGGGAAAACGGGATGGGAAAGGGGATGGGAAACTGGGATGGGAAACTGAGATGGGAATGGGGATGGGAAAGTGGGATGGAAACAGGGATGGGAAACTGGGATGGGATGGGATGGGAATGGGAACAGGAATGGGGATGGGAATGGAGATGGGAAACTGAGGTGGGATGGGAATGGGAGTGGGAAACCAGGATGGGATGGGAATGGGAGTGGGAGTGGGATGGGAAAGCGGGATGGGAAGATGGGTGGGGGATGGGAACGGGAATGGGAACAGGGATGGGAACGGGAAACCAGTATGGGAAACTGGGATGGGAATGGGAACAGGAATGGAAAACCGGGATGGGATGGGAATGGGAGTGGGAATGGGAACAGGAAACTGGGATGGGAAACCAGGATGGGAAACTGGGATGGGAATGGGAAAGGGAACGGGAGTGGGCCAGGAAAACCAGGATGGGAGTGGGAATGGGAGCAGGAATTTGGGCAAAACTGGCCCATTCCCCAATAAAAATGGGACTTTTGGGTGTTTAATTCGGATTTTGGGTTTTGATTCCAATCGGAAATGGGAATTTCAGGGTTTAATTGTGCCATGGGATGGGAATTTTAGGGTTAATTCCATCTTAAAATGGGAATCCCAGGGTTTAATTCCACCTCGGAATGGGAATTCTGGGGTTTAGTTCCAATTTGGCATCGGAGCTTTGGGGGTTAATTCCAGCTGGGAATGGGAATTTTAGGGTTGATTTCAGCTCCAAATGGGATTTTAGGGTAAATTCCACCCTAAAATCAGAACTGCAGGATTCGATTCCACCTGGGAATGGGATTTAATTCTGCACCAAAATGGGAATTTTCGGGTTCACTTCCACCTCCAAATTGGAATTTTGGGATTTAATTCCAACCAGGGATGGGAATGTTGGGGTTTCCCACCCCCCATTCCCTCCAGGGTTCAATTCCAGAGTAAATCCCCCTTGGAATTTCCCCCTCAAAAATCCACCAATGAGGCCCTGGAATTCTCCAGTTGGCCCCAGGATTGCCCAAATTCCACCCCCCCCAGGAATTCCTCAGGATCCACCCATGGCTTTTCCTTAAATTTCCCTTCCAGACAGAGAAATTATGGCAGAATTGAAGCTCCTGAAGTCAAACTGCTCGGAAAACCAGGAATCCGGTGAGTCCTTGGAATCCCCTCCACAGAAATTCCTTGGAAAATGTCATTTGGGGGGGATATTTGTCCATTTCCCGGCATTTTTTGGCGTAAATTAAAGGGAAAAATTGGAATTATCTGCCCAAAACCTCCCAATTCTGCAGCCTTCGCTTGTGATCCCACCAGGAATTCCATTGGGAATGGGGCAGCTCATCCCAAATCCCAAAGGGATTTGCCCCTGGATGTTGTGAATTGGAGCAAATTCCCTCCTGGGATTTTCAGGGATTTCTCCTGGGTTGGGATTTTACTGGGAAAAGGGAGGGGAAATTCCACCCCTTTTTTCCCTGGGAAAAGTTACAGGAAGGACGGGAATCCGGTGGAAAATCCGGGAGAAACCCGATTTCATTGGGAAAAATCTCGATTGTTGCCAAATAATTGGGAATTTTTGGGGAGATTCGGTGGGAAAAAAGTCCCCCCAAATTCCCTGTTCCATAAAATCCTGGAATTCGGGGTCGGAAAAGGGGTCTGGGGGCTGTTCCGGCCGGGACTGGGGGGTTCCAGGGAGGGAGAAAGGGACAAATCCCATGGGAAAAGCTCCGGGATTGGGGAAAAGGGGCGGGAGTGGTGGGGGCTACTCGTCCTGGTGGGAACTGGGAGGGACTGGGAGGGAACTGGGATGGCACTGGGATGGGCACTGGGATGGCACTGGGCTGGCACTGGGAGCACTGGGAAGGCACTGGGAGCACTGGGAGTTACTGGGATGGCACTGGGAAGGCACTGGGAGTTACTGGGCTGTGCTGTGGGGTAACTGGGAGGTTACTGGTCTGTACTGGTCCGTACTGGTCTGTACTAGTCCATACTGGTCCATACTGGTCTGTACTGGTCCATACCGGTCCGTACTGGTCTGTATTGGTCCATACTGGTCTGTACTGGTCTGTACTGGTCCATACTGGTCCATACTGGTCCGTACTGGTCCATACTGGTCCGTACTGGTCCATATTGGTCCGTATTGGTCCATACTGGTCCATACTGGTCTGTACTGGTCTGTACTGGTCCGCACTGGTCCATACTGGTCCGTACTGGTCCGTACTGGTCCGCACTGGTCCATACTGGTCCGTACTGGTGCAGTGTGGCGGGCGCTGGGGGCGGCGCAGCAGCAGCGGACGCGGCTCCGGACGTGGATCCAGCGGCACTTCCAGGAGCTCCAGGACGTCGCAGGTGATTCCCGGGAATCACGCCGGGAATTCCAGGATTTCCGCTGGGAATTCCCCCCCCCCAAAACCGCCATATGGGGGAAGGGGGGGATTCTCTGGGATTTGTCCTTGGATTTCGGGAGGTTTCCAAGGATTTGGGGGGTTTCTCCAGGGTTTTCCCTGGATTTGGGGGGGTTTTATCCAGACCTGGGGGGTTCTCCGGGATTTTTTACCTGGATTTGGATTTTTTCCCCCCGGATTTGCAGCCGGATTAGGGTTTTTTTAACCCAGATTCTCCAGGTTTTCCCCTGGATCTGGGGGGGTTTCTCCAAATTTTCCCCCTGGATTTGGGAATTCCTCTGGGATTTTTCCCCAGTTTTGGAGGCTTTGTCCTGGATTTAGGGGTTTCCCTGGATTTGGGGCCTTTTCCCTGATTTTGGGATTTCCCCCAGGATTTTTCCTTTATTTTGGGGGGGTTCCTCCAGGATTTTTCCCTGGATTTGGGGTTTTTCTCCCCTGCTTTTCGAGGTTTCCCCCTCGATTTTCCCTGGACTTTGGGGGTTTCTCCACAATTTTGACCCGGATTTGGGGCTTTGGACCCACATTCCGGTGTTTATCCAGGTTTGTTTTTTTTTTCCTGGATTTGGTTTTTTTACCTGAATTATTTGGGCTTTTCCTGGGATTTGGGGCTTTCCCTGGATTTTCCCCTGGTCTTGGACGTCTCTCTGGGTGTTTACCTGGGATTTCCCCCCTGGATTTTGGGAATTCCTCCATGTTTTTCCCCCATGGATCTGGGGCATTCCCTGGACGTCTCTCCAGGCGTTTCCCCGGGATTTCCCCCCTGGATTTTGGGAATTGCTGCCGTTCCAGGGCTGCTGTGCCGGACCCTGGAGGGCTCCCGGCGCTGCTCTGCGGGCTGGAGGATGTTTGGGAAGAGCTGCTACTCCTTTTCCTGGGAATCCTTGAGCTGGGGGGACGCCCGGGACGCCTGCGCCGACCTCGGAGCCCACCTGGTGGTCGTCGACTCCGAGGGGGAGCAGGTTTGGAAAACACAACATTCCCTGGATTCATTCCCGCTTCCCGAGGGCCATTCCACTCTGCAATTCCCACCCTGGAATCCCCACCATGGAATTCCCAGTCTGGAATCCCCACCATGGAATTCCCACCCTGGAATTCTCACCATGGAATTCCCACTTCGGAATTCCCACCATGGAATTCCCACTCTGGAATTTTCCCACCCTGGAATTCCCACCCTGCCATCCCCACCCTGGAGTTCCCAGCCTGGAATCCCCATCCTGGAATTCTCACCATGGAATTCCCATTTTGGAATTCCCACCCTGCAATACCAACTCCGGAATTCCCAACAAGGAATTCCCACCCTGGAATTTTCCAACCTTGAAATTCCCTTTTAATGCAAATGAAAATCCACCCTGGGGTTGCCAGTCTGGAATCCCAATCCTGGAATTCCCACTCCGGAATTCTCACTATAGAATTCCTATCTTGAAATTCCCACTCTGGAATTCCCTCCCTGAATTCCCACTTTGAGATCCCTACCCTGGAAATTCCCTCCTGGAATTTCCCCCTGTGGAATTCCCACCTTGGAATTCTCACACTACAATTCCCACTCTGGAATTCCCAGCCTGGAATTCCCAGCTTGGAAACCCCACCCAGGAATTCCCACTCTGGAATTCTTACCCAGGAATTCCCACCATGGAATTCCCAGCCTGGAATTCCCAGCTTGGAATTCCCACCATGGAATTCCCAGCCTGAAATCCCCACCCAGGAATTCCCAGCCTGGAATTTCCACTCTGGAATCCCCACCCAGGAATTCCCAGCCTGGAATTCCTACTCTTTCCCCCCAAACCCGCATGGATTCCTTGGGAATTCTGGAATTGGGGCTGTTTTTTTCCAGCAATTCCTGATGGAGAACCTGAACCGGAGCAGCTCCTACTGGATGGGAATCTTGGAGCAGCAGAAGGGAAAGTGGGTCTGGATCAACGGGGAAAATCCAACCTTCAGGTAGGGAATTCCAGCCAGGAATCCCAACAAAAGAATCCTCAAAACCAGGAAACGATCAGGAAATGAAAGGGGAAAAAAAATGGAAAATGGATCCGTTAAAAGTTCGGGGTTTTCGAAGTTTTAAGGATTTCTGTTGGAAAATTGGAATTTTTGGAGGTTTTCTGGGGAAAAAAAAGAAAAGAAAAAAAAAAAAGGGATTTAGGGACAACTTTGAGGTCAAAATTCCCCTCCAGGAATCACCAAAGTGGGAAATAATCAGGGAATTATTGGAAAGAATCCTCAAAAATGGGAAATAATCAGGAAATTAATGGAAAGAATCTTTAAAAATGGGAAATAATCAGGAAATTAATGGAAAAACGGAAAACTGACCCATTAAAACTTCGGAGGTTTGGGAGTTTTGTGGAAACAAAAGGATTTCTGTCAGAAAAATTGGGATTTTTTGGGAGCTTTATTTTCTGGAAGAAAAAAGAGGGTTTTTTTGTGGGGTTTCCAGGACTTGTTTTTCTTTCCTGATTTTGCTTCCCCCCCACTTTTCCCTGTTTTTTCTCCCATTTTTCCCTGTTTTTTCTCCTCCTTTTCCCTGGTTTTTCTCCCCCTTTTCCCTCTTTCTCCTCCTCCCTTTCCCTTTTTCCTCCTTTTCCCTGTTTTTCCTCCTCCTTTTCCCTCTATTTTCTCCTTTCCCTGTTTTTCCCCTGTTCCTTGTTTCTCCCTCCTTTTCCCTGCTTTTTTCTCCTCCTTTTCCCTGTTTTTCCTCCCCCTTTTCCCTCTTTTTTCTCCTCCTTTCCCCCCTGTTTTTCCTCCCCCTTTTCCCTCTTTTTTCTCCTCCTTTTCCCGTTTTTTTCCCGCCCCTTTTCCCTGTTTTTCCCCCAGTTTCTGGAAGTTTTGGGACAAGGACCAGGACGAGGAGCTCAAGAACTGTGGGATCATCGGGCCCGGCGGGGTCTGGGACAACGACTTTTGTTCCAACCTCAATCCCTGGATCTGCGAGAAATCCTGGAATTGCTGACCCAGCCCGGCATTTTCCCGCTTTCCCGACAATTTACCGCCCCTCCCCCACCCCCAAACCTGCCCCACATCCACCCAAAACGTCCAAAAAACCGCAAGCGCCCCAAAAATCCCCAAACTCTCCCCAAAAACCCCAAATCATACCCCCAAAACCCAAAACATCCCCTCAAAACCCCCAGATCCTTCCCAAAGAGTCCCCAAACCCCCAAATCCACCTCAAACCCCCAAACCTCCCCAAAACCTGACCCCCCGAAAAAAACCCCCAAGTTCCCCCAAATAAACCCAAATCCCCAAACTCTCTCAAAACCAAGCTCTACCCCGGAAAACCCACTCCCTCAAAACCCCCAATTCCGCCCAAAATCCTGATTTCCCTTTAAAAACCTCAGAATCCCCTGAAAATCCCCAAATCCCCCAAATAAAACCTAAATCCCTTCAGAAATCCCAACCCCCCCCATATTCCCCAAATAAACCACCAAACCCCCCCAAACCCTCTCAAAAAACCAACATTTTCCACCCATTAAAACCCCTAAATTCCCCCCCCGAACCCCAAATTCCTCCAAAACCACCAAAATTCCCCCTAAAAATCCCCAAACCTTCTCCCTTGTCCTTCTTTTCATCCCCCAAATCGTCCCCCAATAAAACTTGTATTTTTCAATATGAACCCTTTTTTGCCCCAAATCACCCCCAACAGCCCCCCTCAGCCCCGTCCCCCAAATTCCCCAAATCCCGGGAATTCCCATAAAACCTCCTGGAAAAACATTCCCCTAAAAATTCTCATAAAAAGCCTGGATGGAAATGCTGATTTTTCTTAAAGAGTTTTCAGCCCAAAAATCGATGTTTTTGGGGGGAGTTTCCCCCAATTCCATCGGCAGAAATTCCCTCTCCGGGTGGAAAATTAACCCTGGGAATTTCTGGGAATTCCCAGCGCTGCCAGGAAATCGGGGAATTCGAGCCAAGGTTGGGAAATTTGGGGGAAAATCGATTAAAAAAAAAAAAAAGGGCCCCGCGGAGAGGAAGGAAAGTGGAGTTTGGCCACTTCGGGAGGGTTTCGACCCAAAACGGGGGGAGCAGCGACTGGGAGGGCACTGGGAGGGCACTGGGAACACTGGAAGGGGACTGGGAAGGCACTGGCAGGGCACTGGGAGCTCTACGAAGGGTCTGGGAGGGCACTGGGAGCACTGGGAGGGCACTGGGAGCACTAGGAAGGGTCTGGGAGGGCACTGGGAGCACTGGGAGAGCACTGGGAGGGCACTGGGAACACTGGAAGGGCACTGGGAGCTCTGGGGACCCCCTTCCCAGACCAGACCCCCAAAGGGACCCCGACATCCCAGCCCCCCAAATGGATCCAGGGGTCCGGGCCCCCCCCGGGCCCCCTTTTCCAGACCCCCCAAGCGGATCCAGGACCTGGATTTGGGATCCCCAAATGGATCCAGGGGTGTCTGGGACCCCCTTTTCCAGACCCCCGAGTGGATCCAGGAGCCCCTTTTGGGACCCCCAAGTGGACCCACCTATCCAAGAACACCCTCCGGAACCCCGACTGGATCCAGAGTCCTGGGACCCCCTTCCAGGACCCCCTTCCAGGACCCCCTTCCAGGACCCCCAGGTGGATCCAGGTGTCCAAGACCCCATTCCAGGACCCCCTTCCAGGACCCCCTTCCAGGACCCCCAGGTGGATCCAAATGTCCAACCCCCACCCGAGCCCCCCAAGTGGACCCACAGATTTGGGACCCTCTTTCCAGACCCCCAAATGGATCCGACATCCAGGACCCCCTTCCAGGACCCCCGGGTGGATCCAGGCACCTGGGACCCCATTCCAGGTCCTGGACCCCCAAATGGATCCCAATATCATGGAATCATGGAATCGGGAAATCAGGGAATCAGGGAATCAATTTAGGGAGTCTTTCAAGGGTTTGGGTGTGTTGATGTTTTTTAGGGGTTTTCAAAGGTTGTTTTAGGGGTTTTAGGCTTTTTTAGGTATTGGGGTGGGGGTGTTGTTTATTTTTTTTTTTTCAGGTGATTTCAGGTCATTTTGGGGTGATTTCAAGCAGTTTTGGGCCGATTTCAGGCCATTTTTGGGCAATTTCAGGGTATTTTGGGCCGATTTCAGGCTGTTCTGGGCTGCTGGGCACCCCAGCTCTCCCACCCCCCCACCTCCCCCCCAAGTTCCGTCCCTGCCTCAGTTTCCCTTGGAACCTGGACACACCAATCCCATGGTCCCACCCCTGTCCGGACACCTGGATCCCTTCCCGGATTCAATCCCACGGTCCCATCCCTGGATCCCTTCCCGGATTCCATCCCTGTCCCATCCCTGGATCCCTTCCG